CAGGTTAAGATCCTCCCTGGTAAGCCAGCTCGTGGGCTACACAGAATATTAGAAATGGGTTAGAACAATATGTAAGAGCTAGCCAATAAGAAGCTGGAACTAGCCGGGCCAGGCAGTGTTTGAAAGAATACAGTTTCCGTGTAATTATTTCGGGCATAAGCTAGCCATGCGGGCGGCCGGGTGCCGGGGATGCAGCCCTGCCGCCGCTCCTATTTCAACAGGAAACTGCCTTGGCCATTTGATAGTCCAGCCCTTAGGTGGGTGGAGTAGACAGAACAGAATGCTGGGAAGAAGGGAAGTGAAGTCAGATGCGATGGAGCCAGCCGCCAGGGCAGACATGCTGAATCTTTCCCTGTAAGCCACTACCTCATGGTGCTACACAGATTATTAGAAATGGGTTAGTCAAGATGTGAGAGTTAGCCAAGAAGAGGGAGAACTAATGGGCTGCTGACTCTGGAACTACTGGCTGGGAGCTGTCCTCACCACCTCAACTCTGAGTATTACTGTGCAGCATGTAAACCCTTTGTATCTGAGTAAAAGCTAAATGTGCCATATAGCACACTGCAGGGCCTGGAAATACCGCTGTGTATGGTGGCAGGAATCTGCCATGCCCTCCTGCCTGTGTAGGCCTAGCAGACTCTATCCCATTGCTGCCCAGTCCAGGGTTGGGGGATTAGGTTGGGTAGGAAGGTGGGGTGTGCTGAGTCGTGGGCATGGTCTCAGCTACTTTCTTCCCCGAGTGTGCATACAAGCACCCGAGCCCACAAACCCCATTCAAGTTCTCCATAGCAGGACCTCCAAAAGAGTCAGATCTGTTTGTGTTGGCAAAACATGAAGCCACTAATGCTGAATCAGGAAGACCTCTCTTAAAGGAGCTCTGGTACCCCTGTTTGCTGCCAACAAACAGAGCCTATCTGAAAAAAAAAAAAAAAGAATGCAGCTAAACTTTGTTTTTTGTTTTGTTTTTTTTTGTTTGTTTGTTTGTGTCTTGAATTCCTTTCCAAGCTCTCTCAGGTTTTTTGTGGATTTAGTTGGCACGTGTTGACATGTCAATCTGTTGATAGGGCTTTCTGTCCCACCCAGTCCCATAGCCATTCAGTCCCAAAGAAACACACAGAGGCCTACATTAATTATAAACTGGTTGGTCTATTAGCTCAGACTTCTTATTAATTAACTCTTCCCAAGAAACTGTTGAGCACCAAAGACACTCTACTTGGAGCTTGTTTTCTTCTTGGCAAGGAACTTCCCATGCCTCAACCACTGACAAAATGTACAGTGTCTGGACTGAACAAGCAGGATACAAGAAAAAAAAAGACTGCCAAACTTTGTCAAGACAGGGCAAGACAGTTTTGAAAAATTTTCCTGCCTCTGAAAATGGTCTGTCAGTTACTCGAGGCCTTAGACAAAGTTGGTTGCTTCAACATTGCAAATGAGACAACTTTGGTTGATTGCCCAGGCAGCCAGTTGTCTCTGTCATCTACTGCACATTCTAGAAGCTGCTTGATTGCACTTCCTGCCTACTCAAGTAATATTATCTCCCTTCTCAGGCTTTCAATGGGTTTGAAGATTAGATAGTTAGTTACTTTCTTCTTATGATTTAGCCAAGCCATTGCTAATACAAGACTTAGACTCCTTAGGATAGAATGATTATTAAAACATTTAGCATATGCTCCTTGCTTAATATTGTTTATGCAGGTTGTAATTCTAATTTTTGTACTTGACATGTGTTCTTATTGTATATAGTTTTGTATTGGGTTTGGAACTCTCTTATTTAGAAAAAAAAGGGGAGGTGATGGGGAACCTCCTTCAGCCAATGGCCTTTGAGAGGCTGGACCAGGTCAAGGCATGGCTTTGGGTACCAAGAAGACACAGTCCCAGTCCACTCACCCCTCTTCTTTCCACATGCCACACCTGGATGTCGGGCCCCATTCTTATTTCCTTGTTGGGATCTGTGAGTTTCCCTTTTAATAAAGAAAAACCTTAGTATACCTTATTCGGAGCTAGTGTGCGATTATTTGATTTGCGTTCCCCCCATCTGATGCGTTCTGCTTCACTTTCTGCCATACAATGTTGCAGCAAGAAATCCCTGTAAGAGAATACTAGTACCTTGGCACTAGACTTCTCAGTCTCCAAACCAATGAGAAATCAAATTCTGTGCATTATAAAATTACCAATACTTACACAGTATTGTAAGTAGCACAAAACATATTAAGACTGTGTGGCTGAGGAATTTGTACCAAATGCAGACAAATTTATTCAGCAGCTTGCAAAGCACAAAGCAAATCATGGACTGACAGATTTGGCCGCACTGCCACCCTCTGTGTCCCATGATGTAGCATAGAGACCCATAATGGCAGATTAGGACTTTTGTGGGCTTAGATGCATGCTTTGTCCTCTGGACTACACACCATGCATCTCAGAGAGGAAATACATAATCCTTATCAAACCTACCATAGTGTGAACTGGAGAAGTCATCCCTGGGGGTCTGAATACTGATGCTGCCATAACACTGTGGTGGAAGCCAGATGTCAGAATGACATCAGGAAAAGGAGCCTATGGTCAACAAGTGTTGGTGGAGTGCTGGGCATAGGATTTCCCACATTTAACCTTTGCGAAAATGCCAAGAAATAAAGACAACAAAGTGATAGACACTTACACACGAGAACACCAGTGAATATGGAGAAGCTAACTGTCCGGCAGCCAGCAAGTGCAGAAGGTAGCTCTGACCCCGAGTCTTCTAAAACCAAACCATCAGAGAGTGTTAGCCTCAGTGTGTAACAGCCATCATCTTCGTCAGAGCATCTGTGGCTAGTTGAAAGAGACCCTCAATCAGTTTTGTTGACTATTCTTTCATAGAGGGAGGCAAGAACATCAGCAGACCCTCGCCTGAGATTCCAGCTGTTCCGTCCTGCATCTCCCAGACAGTCACGAGTCTGTCTAATAAGCACATAGTGCTGTGGTCTCAGGAGGTGCCAGGGTACAGAGAAAGGAAAGTTGTCTGAATCGTGGGTTTAATTCATTCAGCCAAAGAAAAATCATCCATCCTGAAGAGAAAGTTTTCAGTGGTTTGACTGCCTTTGAGTCACCCACATTCCTATAACCTTTTCCCCAAGTTTTGCAGTTAAGACCAACAAAGTCATTGTTTTCTGCTTGTTGCGGTAAATAATCTGTGTTTGTGGTAGAAATTTTAAGAAAGTGCAAAGAAGTGTAAAAACAAAAGAAAATATATAATCCACTGTTCTCAACGTTTGAATGTAGTACAGAAAATCCAGTGAACCAATGCCTAAAGTGGTAATTGCCATCTCCCCAAAATCTTGAAAAAGAAGTTGTATGCAAGGGGTGGGGTTCAGCAGAATGACAGTATCCCAGTCATTACAACGATCACAAACATTTCCATAGAATTTGACATATTGCTGATGTTATTCTAAGTACTTTATATACTCATTTACTAACAGGAAGGAGGAAAGCCAACATAATTGACAAATTTTAATATTTTATACCATCAAAAAATACAGCCCAACAATTTCAAACTTTTCTTTCCTTCCCCTGACACACAGCAGGAAACAGCAACAGAAACTCTATGTCAACTTATGGACAGCAACATATTAAGGCCCTGCTTATCAAAGCCCTGTGTGTGGCTCTTGAATAGGCCCCTTCTCCACCCAAAGTCTTACAAGACCACTGAGCATCAACTGTCACTTCATACCAGCCACATCTGTTCACTTGTTGAAATCAAATTCTTCAGCTCTTTCCTGGACCTGCAAGCCAGAAATACAGGAGTGAGCTCCCCAGTTTATGCCTCAACAAGCCTTCCAACAGTGCTAATACATGCTCCAGCTTGGGAACCCATGACTTAAGAAACATTAGGAGCCCCCAGAACTCTGGAGGATAAAGCAGAAACATTATGTTTTCCAGGCGAGTATGGGTTGCATAGTGAGTTCCTGGACACCCCCTCCTGCAAAAGATAGAGTAAAATGTTGATAGTGATCACACCTGCTGCTGGGCTGTGTGTTGGCGTCATCAAGTGAGCCCTTGCAGAAGAGATGAACTTTCCCCAGGTCTCAAAGAGACCCCCTTTAGAAAGTGAGAAATGGGGAGCAAGGCGGTGCCAGGCTTTAGGGTTGGACAATGATGGGAGGCCTCACTTACTGCACACCATGTGAAAATCCTTCCCTCTCACCTTCAGCTCTGCGTCTTGTCACCGCCAATCAATAGCTGTCAATGCCCATTACTGTAAGGGAGCGGGGAAACGCTGACGAGGCAGAAAGTGAGTGAGAGGTGCAGGCAGCAAGGGGCCAGAGGTGGTGGGGAGGTGAAGCCTGGAGTCCACCGGCCACCCTCATCGACTGTCCTGCCCATGAGGTCATCCTCCTTGTCCTCTGCTGCTATCAGGCTGCTCAGCCTGCACTCCAGGACCCACGATCCCCAAAGGCAGCACAGAAAAACCAAGACACAACGTCAGAATATCTGTCAGTCCGTGGGAGATTTCTCAGAAAAAGTCGGTTCTATGCCAACAGCCTTTGGGGTTGAGTGTCTCAAAGTATGCCCTGATACTGCTTCATCTGGGGTCAGCACAGGGAGGCTGGTATCTTGTGTTATGTTTATCCATCTCCTGAGTCAGAGGGCTGATCAACCAACAAGGAAGTAGAGCAAGAGAAAAAAAAAAGGCCAGGGTACCATGGTCCTAATATCTCTATCTGTTGAGTCTTTCAGCCATAACTGTCATCTTCATCGAAGGAGCCCACACCACAGGCTCTGGCAAATGTCTTGTTTTTGCCCCCTTGCTATCCACATAACCAGTGCTTGGGGGTGCCTGCTATTGAGGATGGCATATTATGGAATTTGTGCCACTAAAGTAGGAAGTATGAGTTCATATTCCCTGCTGGACAATGTCTTCCCACCTGAGCCACTCTCCCATCCTACCTCTGCATCCTATGAGTCCTGAGCCCTCTGAGGCTCCAAATCTTATCCAGCGTCCAGGCTCCTCCCCAGATTTATTTCTTGCTATTCTTCATCTAAAAAGAAAGCTCTGCTCCAGTCTTAGGCATATATAATTCCCCTAGACTTTGTCCAACCACTGCCCTGGACTGCCCCACTTTCAATACGTCCTATAAAAGGCTTCTCTTTCTTCCAGACTCAGTAGGAGCAAGTCTATGCATGTATGCGCACGTGTGCGCGCGCGCGCACACACACACACAAATGTGTGTACGCGCACACACACGCATAAGCTCACTGCTCTCAGGAAACACCCCTGCCTCCCTCTGCCCTAGTCCTCCCCTTCTCCCTCTCTTCTACAGATCCCCCAACCCCTTGCCTATCTTACATACAACACAAAAAAACATCTACCAGGAGTTTGTGCAGGTCTGGTACCTGGATATGTTTGGACAGGACCAAGTCATCCTGAATTTCCCCCAACAGTACCCAGTATTGATTCTTTCCAAAGTAGATCCCTGAGATGCATCTTAACGAATCCCCCCAGAATCCAACTTTATTTTGCCCATCCATTCTCTGCACATCAACCTCCAAGGCTCTTTAAATTGACATGGGAATTTCTTTTCATTTCTACAAGCCCATAAGAGCTCTGTTGTCCTTGCGATATAGGCAGTACTTCTTTAGGTGGCCTGCAGGCCCTCCTCCTGGGACTAGGCCTGCAGCAACTGCCCCAGAGAGGTTGGCGACTTGTGGGGATAGGGGGTAGGGGTTGCACTGTATCTCTTTCTCCTTCTAACTTGGTCTCCCCGCTTGTTCCTCAGCCATGATTAATGACAGTCACTTAAGAACCAGAATCTGGTTCCTTGATGGATTTTCTTTCAAGACCATGTAGAGACTAAGGCAAACCCAGACTTAAATTCCAGCTTCCTATCCCTTGCTTTTGTTTCTTGAAACTTGTAACTCCTTCCCTGCAATACAAAAGTACCTCCTTCACAGGGCAGCAAACGAAAAAAAAAAACGGATCCAGGCATCCTATTTAAAGTGCTTTAGGCACCGTTATGGCAATGTTTCTTCCCTTCCAACTGAAGCCCCTCACCCCTGGGGAAGGATCTTCTCATGGGAAAACAGATCTTTATCAGTGCTGTGTAGGGCTGGGGCTTTGGTCATTTTTCCTGATTTGCTTTCTGCTTTCTTCCTTTCCAAATGGTGTGAAGACATTTGGTGCCTGCTCAGCCCCCAGCCCATTGATAGTCCAGGACTCTGCAGATCAGCGCAAGGTAATGGTTTCTGTGTTGAGAAATAAAGCAAGGTTCTGGTAGAGGCAACACCAAGATTCTAAAGTGTCTGGGCTTCAAGGTAACTTCACTGTGATGTGCATTACATTGGTAAATTGTTGTGTGCTGATTAAGCCTGTTGAAAGCAAATACTGGGAGCAAGAGAACCCTCCTTTCCATATTTATTTCAGATATTCATCAGAATGTTTTCTAAAACACATTTTCCTATGGGAATCTGGTCCCCTTGATGTCTCTGTATGCTGTGATTACCATTAACGAATAAAGAAACTGCGTTGAGCCTATGGCAGGGAAGAACAGAAATAGGCGGGGAAAGCTAGGCTGTATGCTGAGAGAAAGAAGAGTGGAGTTCGAGAGAAGCCATGGAACTGCCGGAGATAGACACATGACTGTCTCCTGATTCTAGCTGATCCCAGAAGTTGACTTCTTCCACTGAGTCAGAGGCTTCCTGCCGTTTGCCATGCTATCCGAGTCTGGAATACCTTTTTATAGAGCTTTCCCTCCAGCCAGACTAAGAGCACCATAAGGCCTCTCTTACTTATCCTCCCGACTCCTCAGCCCAGTACATAGTCCAAACCAGACTAAGTGCTTAGGAAGCATTTGCCGCAACCAGAGAGTCATACCTCCTTATAGAGTAGACATTAAACACCTGCACCATGCAGTCAAAATAGTGTATGGTGCCCACGCTTAGGATCAGCCTGCAAGTCGGGGGAAGAACTCAGCACTAAGAACAGCACTTCTAATCCCGTGTCTGACACTCTAGGATTCTCATGGCAAGCCTAATAACGGTGCCGAGACAGGCCAGCCTGCCCACCAGGATGACAGGCTGCCAATGGCCAAGGCAATGCCCACGGTAGGATCAGAGGTCCAGGACAGCTGGAACCGCGCAGCTGTGCATCTGCTCGTGACTGAGATGTGCATTTGTCTCCCTGCCACTCATCCTCAGATGACACGGGACGAACGGATGTGTCTGGAGGAGCTGTGTGGGCGGAGGCAGCCAACATATGGCTCCTATGCCTTCCCATTTAGACATGTTGATGTTTCCCCCACACCATGTGCTGAGCCCAAAGACACTGTTTGCTTGGAAGTCAGCCTAATTAGTGAACTGGGTCTTACTTCTCTCTCTGTGCCAATTTTTAACTTAATTCCAAACCAAAAAAAAAAAAAGTGCTCCATTCAAGAGTATACAGCTGGTCCACAGCCACTGTTCTGGTCCCTTCACCCTTTGAAAGATGTGTCAATGGATCATCACCCAACACCCATAGAGGCACCAAAGTCAATGGAAGCAGGGAGGATAAAACACAATGTTTCCCTCACTTCAACCTCTGTCTGTGGGTGCAGGTATCAAGATACAGATTCTCCAAAAGCGTGTTTTTAGCACACTTGGATAGAAGAGACTTGTGTGTTAGTGTGCTATTTTTTGGCCTAAAAATTCTCAAAGACACCTCTGTGACATCAAGCTCTTCTCAAGCACCCACTATGCCACTTCGCCACCTTCCACCTCGCCCTTCAACCTCCGTTCCAATTCGAGCTCCCCAGCCAATTCACCAGGTGGACTCTCCAGCCAGTTCACCGGGTGAACTCTCCAGCCAACTCACCAGGCACCGGCCATTCACTACCACACGTTGTGCGCTCACTCTTGAAGCCTTGAATGCTTTCCCCCTCCTCTGCCCCACACCTAAGACTCAGCACATTCAATATCACACACTATGAACAAGTGGTGTGCTGCTTCAACGTCTGATTTGTTAGACTCGTTTGGCAGACAAAATGAGTGAGGTTCAGAAAAAAAAAGTCACGTGACTTGTTCATGGTCAAACAGCTAATAACTATCAGAGCCAAGGTTTGACTTTATATCTAAATGTTACCAATGTTCTTAGAAATGACATGTTTCAGTGTTGGGGCCTCAGCTCTCAGGATTGAGTTTGTTCTTTTCCTCTTCTCTGAAGTCTCTTTTGAGCCCTATATATCTTGTCCAAGACTCCCCCACACCTTTCTACACACACACACACACACACACACACACACACACATGCACGCATGCACATGCCTGCACTTCTCTAGGCAAACTCTTAACAGAACCTTGAAATCACACAGCACTCTGCTGTCTCACAAAGTGAAGTTCCACAAAATGGGAAAGGACCCAGAGTCTTGGCACTTGCGTGAAGTCCCGACACATCTGTAGGTGTCTAGTACGTTGTTTTTAAATGAGTTAATTAATGGGTGATGAAGACAGCATCTCAGTAGATGTAAAGAACAGTGGGAACAAAAACACACTCTTCCAAGTGACACAGCCTCCTCTTGTCACCACAGTACCTGCCAAACCTTCTGAGTTTTGTACAAAGGTACCGATTTTGTCTTGGACAGCTTCTCTGCATGGCAGACATGCTGATCTCATGGGGAAAATATCTGAATTAGAAACTGGATGGTGGTGACTTCTGAAGATACAGCTGGACCAAGTGTTCTGCCTCCTTGTTAGACGCAGCTAGGAGGGAGTGACATGTGACTGGGATGTAGACCCTTCCAGACCAAGCACA